TGAAATCTGCAGTGCCTCGATAGGCAAACTAGAGTTTAGACTAGTTTTCTACAACCCAAGTATAGATGAAGTTAGTTTATGTTCACACTTGTGATGATGGTAAAATACATCGACCATCAAGGATCTTTTACAGGTACTAAAGCTAGTAACGTCTGTGCGCTGAGTATTACAATCACCAATCTATGCATTAAACATTAGTTTAACAATAGCCAATATTACATGAGTGGGAAAAAAAAAGGCAAAGGGTTGGGTAGTGCCAGTAAGTTTCATTGAAACAATCAGTAATTGGCCCACAAAGGCAGGAAACCATGTGCCTTACGAGAATGAGAGCATTTTGTGCGAAGGCAGGAGTTGTGTGCCTGTTGTGCAAAGGCTCCCAGCCAGCAGACGGGGAACATGAGCCCCGGGGACATCAGTGAAATGCAGGTGTCAGAAGAAAGCCTTTACCCCACAGCAGAATCAATGGGAGGAGGGCACTGCCGGCTCTAACCACCGTGGTGTTTTATTGGAAGCGAAAATATATGGGAAACCCAGCTCTGGGACTTTTTCTCAGACGGCAGCCTTCCTACCTGAAAGATGCCTGGAGTTTTTCCACTTCTCAGTGTCCTCTAAAGCCTGCTCCAGAGTGGAGGTGGATATGCCCGGAAACTGCTTTTCCACTTCACATTTCTACTAAAATTTCTTGTTATTACAACAAACCACTTGATTCAGCAGCACCACTTCACAGGCTCTTTTATAAATAGAGACATTGCTTCTGCCCTGACGGGCTTACAACCTAAACTAGACAGACAAAATAAAGCAAATTAGGAAAAGGCAGATGAGCAGAATATTAACAATGAAACAGGGGAAGGTGCTGCTCAAGTGGGCTAAGGATTAAGATCTTCGTGGAAGCCAGCTCAATTTTTTCATCCCTCATCAGATGCAGGCTGAAACAACCCGCTGAATGAATAAATGCAACAGCAGTGCCGGGCTTTTGAGGGCCTCAAAATTCCTGAGTTCATTTAAAAAATAATACAAAATTTGTGGGACCTGGATTCCACGTGAATGAGAGATTTTGGTTTTAAAATGCAGAAATGCATTTTTCACTGCAGAGCTGGAAAACTAAAACACAGCGTTCATTTGTGTATGTTCATGTGGCCACTTTTGGTCTTGTCAGTGCACATTTTAAATTTTAATTTCCATCAAAGTCAGTGCTAACTTAAAGAACAAGGCTCATTGTGTGCCTAACCCTGCCCTATTGATCGAAATCAATAGGAGTTTTAGCATTGCCTTCAAGGGGAGGATTTTCGACCCAAAATAACAGAATTCAAAATATGGTTCTGACTTTAAAAACACTGTGGTAAAATTAAGCATATATACGTCTCTTTTTGCTGTTGATGCCTGGCTCAGATCCACTTTTAACATGCTGTTAGCTATCAGAAATATGACACCGGCTACCTGAGTGCACGCCTGGGGTAAAACCTGTTTGTAGCTGCTATATAAACTCCTTTTATAACATGGTTAAAAGATCACAGAGACAGTTCTGGGCAGTAATTAAAGCATATTTACCAAATATTAAAAATCACCCAGCAGAGGAATGTTTAACACAGACAAGTAGGAAAAACAAACAGCTTTTCAGTTGGAAGCTCTGCATTATGGACAGAGACCATCATTGCTGAGTGCCTGCAAGCGAGATGGGACTGGGGGTCTCTTGCTTCTGTAGGACAAAAAAAGAGTACAAGGAAGGAGTTAGTGTCCTGCGTTAGGTAGCACAAGGGAAAACACTGGAGTCACACCATGCATTTGGCAGGGTACAGTGGTCCTCTACAAAGCCTGGTTCATCAGAGGCATCTCAGGAATTTGTCCTAATAAGCTCAAAATATGTTTAACTGATGTTCTTTGACTCACAGTAGTGCCCGACATCAAGCTACAAGAACACTGACCAGCAAAGAAGAATGAAACGTGATACAGAAATCCCCAGTCAATTACCCTGATGGTTACTGTTTTGCCTGGTGACAGTGAGAGATGCACTGTTTTATCTATTTTATTTCATGGAAAAAAAAAAAAATAGATCCCCAAACCACGAACATTTAAAACCTAAATACACAGACAGCAGTCTTCCTGAGTTTATGGTACCAGTTAGCATCATATTCCTCACTCTTTTGATCCAATTTTTTTCCCCACTGACCAGCAAATGTACTTATGAATGCATCCAGATCAATAAAACTCCAGCTACGGACCTGTGGGCCATGAACCATAGGATAAGGGTGTTGGACATATCCATAAATGTCAAAACTGCAGTGTCGAGCAAGCAGAAGCATCCAGCAGCTGGGAAACTGGAGAATTGCTCATCCTCGGAGGTGGCGAGGAGAAAACCAGACCTTCTGATCCCTCCATACCCATCGTAACCCCGGGACCTATTTTTAAACGTGGAATGTGGATCCCCGAAGCGCCTGGGCTGGGCTCCACACCTGCTCACTGCAGGGCCACGGCCGGCGGGCAAATGGAGACAGTGGCTTGGTCCTTGGTCCTCTTTGCCTCAGGATTAAAACATCTCTCCTGGACCAAATCCAGGCAAGGCCACGCCATCACTTTCTGTCCTTCCGTCTGGTGGGTTCCAATGTGTCCGACACACCAGGGAGATGCCCCAGGGCTGCCGCACC